AGCATCCCCGGAGATGTCCCTCCTCCTCCCCAAATTTGTAGTGAGCCTTTGCTAATTCTGAGGTATCGATGCTCACACTAAAAATTTAACAATTGGCCCACAAGAGCCGCCAGGCTGAGCACACCCTTGGCGGTCACTCTCAGAGGGAAAACAGCCCTTGTCCTTCAGCTTCGCCGGAACGTCTCCTGTCCTGCCACCTTTGGAGAGGGGAAGGTAGCTCTGCCCAGGAACGCTTCTTGTACTGGGTCCTAATTCTTGGCGCTCTTTGAACTGGGTGAGTTAAGCTCCAAGCCTAGGTGAGGACTGTGCACCAGGTGGGAAGGATGTCCTCAGGGCCCTGGTTGCTTCTGCCCCCTGCTGGGAAAGTACCAAAGGTGCGGGAAGATACTGCTCCGTAGACCCGAGCAGGTGGCTGCCTGTCTTAGAGGAAATACGGTGTGAGGAGCCTTGGTTTAAAAAAAAAAAAAAAAGGCAAAACAAAACTCATCACAGTGCACTTAATACCACTATTAATCATGAAGGCATTGAAGGCCATTATTGGCTTCAACTGATAGTAAGTGCCTATTCTGCAAAGCGAGAGACAGTGTGACGTGTAAGGGACAGAGTTACAGGTAAGAGAGCCAGGGTTGGGAATCCCGCCTCTGCCATGGACTGGCTCTATGTTGTTGTTTTCAGACATTTCAGTCATGTCCAACCCTTCATGACCCCATCTGGGGTTTTCTTGGCAGAGATACTGGAGTGGTTTGCCATTTCCTTCTCCAGCTCATTTTACAGATGAGGAAACTGAGGCAAACAGGGTGAAGTGACTTGTTCAGGGTCACGCAGCTAGTAAGTGTCTGAGGCTGGATTTGAACTCAGGTCTTCCTGACTTGAGGCCTAGCCACCAAGTCAGATATATGGCTGTATGGCTATGTGGCCATGGGCGAGTCAATTAACCTTCTCATAACCTCCAAATAATTCTTTGAGCTAGAAATTCAGATCTGGGAGGAAGTTTCTACTCCCGGGAGTTCTCAGGCATCATCAATGAAACCAGATCCAGAACTGACCTTTTTCTTCCCATTAATTCCCATTGTTTAAAATGAGAATTTTATGTGCATTCATGAAACGGTCATTAGTCATTTTAAAATCTATATTACTCTATCCCATTGGTCAATAAGGTCACTTGGGTGATTACAAAATCCTGAGTGTGTAAGAACAAGCCTGGGGTGGGAAAACCGAACTTGGAGCAGAGAGCCTTGGTGGGTCAACCCCCAGATCAGCATGGCAGAGGGGAGCCAATCCCTCGTCCTGCGGCCCTGAAGCAGCGAGGATCATGGGCCAGACTGGATTCGTAGGCTGGGATTCATTTAATGTCCCTTATCTGCTCTTCGGTTTAACATGATGTCTATGCCTGAGTCTGGGTACGCGGTTTTCCCTTGTCAATAACCTCTAGAAAACATAGTCCTGTTCTGGAGTGTTTGGAGACAAGGGTAGAAGAAATTACAGTTCAGGCATTCCTGGAATTTCTGAGACAAAAGCGGAATTCAAACTCAAGTCTCCTGACTCCTGGCCCTGCACTCCTTCCGGGATCTTTATTTAGTCTAAGGGTTAGTTATATACTGAACTCTTGCTCTGCTGCATTACTGGGACTGAGATGGGAAATAGGAAAGGGTTAGATGAGTTTAAAGACCTTTACCCAGGAGGAGCCCACTACCTCAGAGGGGAAGAGGGAGGGCGAAAACATTTGTCTAGTGCCTGCTATGTGCCAGGCACTTTACTTTTACTTTATTATCTCATTTGATCCTCACAAAACCTGCTGACATAGGTACTGTTATTATTCTACTTTACAGTTTAGGAAACTGAGACAGACCGAGGTTAAATGACTTGTCCAGGGTCACGCAGCTAGCAAGTGTCCAGGGCCGGTACACACTTCTGATGCTCCATCTAGCTGCTTCCAAAAGGGATGTCAGGCAACTATTATCACACCCATTTTACGAGTGTGGAAACCTAAGCTCGGAGGAGTTAGGTGACTTACCTAGCATCACATATTACATCAGTGTCAGAACTGAGATTCAAACCTAGATCTCCTCATCTATGAAACCATGAGGTTGTTTCCATCCTAACATACAGACGTGGTTCAGTGGGATGGAAGTCAAAGGATCCGAGTTCCAGTCCCAGCTTAGGTGGCCTGTGTGACCATGGGCACGTGATATAATCTCTCTGGGCCTATCTGTAAAATGAGGGATTGCATTCAATCAATCCACAAGTGTTTATTTAAGTGCCTACCATGTGCCAGGCACAATATTAGACACTGGAGATGCAGAGATAAAAGGGAGGTAAGCTTTGCTTACTTCAAGGAGTTTACAATACAGCTAGGGGAGGAAACATGTATTTATAAAGGTGTACACAAAACAGACACAGACTTATTTTGGGAGTGGGGCAGGGAGCCATTAGTAGCTATAGGAATCAGGATGGGCATCTTATAGAAGGTAGCGTTAGAGCCTTGAAGGAAGCCACGCATGCCAGGTGTTGGCAGTGAGGAGGGAGTGCATGCCAGATGTGGGAGACAGCCGAGGCAAAAGCCTGGAGGTGAGGAATGAAGAACCCCAAGAAGGCCAATTTGAATGGACCACAGTGTCGGTAAAAGGGAGAAATGCACAACCAGACTGGGAAAGCTGGTTGTCTCTAAGTTCGTCATTCAATCTGTTGCCACGTGCTTCTATATGTCCCCTTTCTCCCCACCCAAGGCTGCCTCCTTGGTGAAGGTCCCAATTTCTTCACGCCTAGACAATTGCAAAAGCTTTGGAATTGGTCTCCCGGCCTCTAGTCTCTCCGAACTCCAATCCATCCTGGATGGATTTGATGATCTTTGAGGTTCCTCCTAGCTCCAAATCTCTGACCCCACGAGAAGGAAGGCCCAGGGCGTAGGGCCCGTTTCCTCTGTGTGCCCATGGCCAGCCCAGCGGAGCGTGTTGCTGAAACATTCCTACAGCTCCCTGCCTCCTTCCCCTAAGTTGACAGGCAGGCTTCTTGAGGAGTTAGCTCCTGTAGTATGACCACCAGGAAAGACGAGGGCAGTAAATTACTCCCCTGCTGACTCCCCTCCCCCTCTCATCCCGGTGGACCTGCTTTCCGTTCCTAAATCCTCCATCAGACTCTAACAAAAAGCAGATTCCTGGAGGGTCCCAGAGAGCACTGTGGCTCTAAAAACGAGAGAGCCATATTTCCCACATCAAGCCTCTTTCTTTCTCCTTTCCATTTTAGTCACTATTCATCAGAGAAAGCTTTCCCCTCTTTGCCAAGAATCATTTTTCCTCTTTGGACATTTCTTACCCCCCATCTCATCCCAGGCACAAACCCCAGCTATTTGCACACTGCTGCATTTCAGCTTTGTGGAAGTGAGTTGTTTTACCTAGTGAGTCTGGCTCTTCCTAAAGCCCTCTCATGAAACCCCAAGGCTAGATCTTAGACCTGGCTGTCCACCAAGCAAGGATTTCAGAAAAGATGCCCTTCCCCCTCCTCACTTGCAAAATCTATAGATAACCACCCCCAGCATGAGCTTCTCAGCCTATTTTGTACATCTGTGGTGAGATCCAAAGAGGAGTATTACAGCTGGAAGGTAGAGTTGTAACTAGAGTGCGGCCTCTGGACCTTTGCCCTGAGGTGCTGAAATTTAGAGATGATCCTCTGTGCTTGCATTCCTGTAATAACCTAGAAACAATTGAGCTTAGCCCCTAGTTAGCAGGAATAGTTAGTTAAAATAGGAAGCATCTGGATGGACCACCCACCCTTCCTCTAATAATGGCTCACACCCCAGGTGAGTCCCTTCCTGGCTAGGTGACCAATCTCTTTTGTGCTACTTGCCTCTGGTGGAAAAATGTCTACTTATGGCTCTGCCAGAAAAGGTTTTAAACATCAAGTGAGGCATGCTAGGCTCTTAGGGATCTTTGGGGTCTGGGTCTCCCTAGCTTATGGTGCTAATGGGGTTGACCCCATTGGTTGTGGGTTTGATTCTGAATGAGTGACTTGGTTTAGTTTCAGAATCAGAGGGTTGACCCCTAGCTCAGAATCCCAGAATCTCAAAGTTTGAAAGAACCTAAGATGATTCCAAACCAGAGCAGACCAAGAATTCTCCTTCCAGCATACCAAGCAAATGGTCATCTAGCTTCTGCTTACAGCCCTCCAGTGATGGGGAACTCATTACTTCCCCCAACTCAATCCATTTCCATTCCACTCTAATGATTAGGAAGTTTTTTCCTGACATCAAGCCTACATTTGCCCCTTTGTAACTTCTATCTTTTATTCCTAGTTCTGTTCTCTAAGGCCAAGCAGAAAAAAAAATGAATATTTTTCCACATGACAGTCACTCAAATACTTGGGGACAGATATCATGGCTTCCCTGAGTCTTCCCTTCCCCAGGCTAAATACTCCTTCTTAGGTTTTCAGCCAATCCTCTAATGGTGTCTGTCATCTCTAGGCCCCTGGGGTTCTGGTCACCTCCCCAGTACCCTCTAGCTTCTCAATGTTCTCCCTAAAATGTCCCTCCTGAAAAACAGCACCCAGGATTGACCAGGATACTCTAGATGTGGTTTGAATGAGGACAGAGAACATAATATTTAAAAAGAAAAGAAAAGGGTTCAATTTCCTGGATTTGGGGTAAATAAGAATACATAGCAGAGGACTTGGGTTTGAATCCTAACTGATGTCTTTGTGACCTTGGGCAAGTCACTTGATCTCGCTAGGCCTCAGTTTCTTCATCTGTAAAATGAGGGGTTGGTCTAGATTGAGGGGTTCTTTTGGATCTCTGGCAATTCTGTGTTCCAGGAAAGGCAGTGATATCATCTCAGATGACCCCTGTTGAATCCTGTGTTCATTCATTCATTCATTCATCCATTCATTTATTCATTCAGAATTAATTATTAAATCCTTCCTAGGTAGAAAATCCTGGGCCCTCTGGACCCACCCTGCCCCTCTAACACTGAGAAACTCTGCTGTAATTAATTGCTTGCGATTTCTTTCAGGAGTGATCGTGGATCTGCGTGAATTCTCTGCCCCTCCCTGCTAAGGAGCCTTTTCTTCAGCCCGGGCCAAGGGCACAGATGACTCTGACCCAGTGATGCCCACCTGTAACTCACAGCCTCCCAACCACCTCTCCTCCTCTGAGATGAGCATCCATGCTCAGACTGTCAATGGACCAGACAGAGAGGGATCATGAAAAGATCTCACTTTCTCAAGCTCTCTTCTCCTCCTTCCCTGACTTCATTCAAGCCCCACTGGCCCTGTTTGATGCGATCGAATGTGTCCCTTTCTCCCTTCCGTTTTTGGCGAGGAAGAGTGGAGACAGAAGATGGGACAGTTTCCCTTTGCCCAGCATCCTTGGGCCATTGCCAAAGATTTGACTGACTTTTATCTGTTTGAATGTCACACGGTTAGTTTTTGTTTGGAAACATCCCCCCAACCCACCTCAAGTCAAAGAGAAGTCAGGAATTCCATCTGGATCCCACAGAAAGAGTCAGCTCCTAGGGATGGACAGATTCTGAACCCTAAATGCTCCTCCTCTGGGTCCTCTTTGGCTCCCAAGTTCCCAGCACCTTGTTTGGGCTACCAACAAGCATTCCCAAATGGAGACCAACAGATGTTTCAGAGTTGGGTGCAATTGGGACAGTCAGAGGGTGGGAGGACTGGATCCTGTTCTCTGTCACACACCTCCCTTCCTGTTTGCCCTGTGCTCAGCCCCTATATCTCTGTGGGGTCAGGAAGCTGTGGCTCCTGCTCCTTTGCCCACTTAGGGGGACTAGGAGACTGGGGGCTTGGGGGAGGGCATTTCCTCACTTTCTTTTAGCCAAACCAAGACTTGTGAAAGGCCTCCCAGGATCTTCTTGCGACCAACAAGAGAAGAGCAAGAGGATTGTTTTTTTCTTTTCAGGGACATGGGGGGAGGTGGGAAGGGCAGGGGGCTCATTCATTCCAGATCCTACAGGCAGAGGGACTGACTGAATGCCTGACTTGGGGAGGAAAAGATGTGGGGGAAGTGGGCTAGCCTGGAGAGTGGGGCTAGCCTGGGGAGGAGCTCCAATGGCTTCTCCCAGACCTCCTCCTGCTCTAATGGCCAAAGCATCTTATTTCTGTGCTTTACTGTTTGCTTCAAATTGAAGTAAAAACCAAAAAAATCTATATGGAGAAACACACTTGCCAGACCGAGTGGATTTTGTGGTGGACACAGATTTGTATTGTTGAAATTATTACAATTAACACAAATATAGTATTTGAAAATAAAAAATTACATCATTCAAGGCAGCGTGGCATAGAGTGGTGGTCGCCATTTAGCAGGAGTCCCCCTGGGGATTTGAGACAATGGTTCAAGGGATTCAGCGCTAAAAATCCTTCAGTGGCACCTTAAGCAGTACATAATTGCAAAATATTATGAGTAGTATATTAAATTACCTTGAAGGTTTACAACACATTTTATTTTGTTTTATTTTTTTAGTTTTTAGGCAATTGGGGTTAAGTGACTTGCCCAGGGTCACACAGCTAGTAAGTGTCAAGTGTTTGGTCTGAGGCCGGATTTGAATTCAGGTCTTCCTGACTTCAGGGCCGGTCTTCTATCCACTGCACCACCTAGCTGCCCCTACAACACATTTTAGAGGCACAGCAGAGGGGCTGGAGTCAGAAGACCTGAGTTCAAATCTAGCCTCAGACACTTACTAGCTGTGGGACTCTGGGCTAATCACTTCATCTTTGTTTGCCTCATTTTCCTCATCTGTAAAATGGGGATAATAATAGCACCTGCCTCCCAGTGTTGTGAGAATCAAATGAGATAATAACTGTAAAGCGCTCAGCACAGGGTCTGCACATAGTAAATGACATATAAATAGCTGCTATCATTGTTATTATTATTTTGTTGCAGTGGTTTAAGGAACAAAAACAGTTAGAGACCCTTGGTATAGGGGGGATGGTGAACCAGCCATGGAACCAGGCTGAGTGAGAACGAGTCCCATCTCTGACACACATTTGCTGTGTGACTCTGGGGAAGGTGACCTCAAGGTGTCAACCTACATTGGTGAAGGGAGCTTCCCCAGCTGGAAGTTCCCTCTACCCAGGACATCATGGGTATAGTCATCATCCCTTATCTCACTCAAGTCCCACAAAGAGCCGGTGAGGTGGGTCCTATAGGTAACATTATGCCCATTTTACAGACAAGTAAATAGATTCAGAGATATTCATTCAATTCAATAAACATTTCTTAAGTGTCTACTATGTGCCAGGCACTGTACTAAAAACTGGGGATTCAAAAGAGGCAAAAGACGGTCCTTGCCCTCGAGAAACTTACAATCTCGTGGGGGAGGCAACGTTCAAACACATAGACCTGGTAAGGCTATTTGTTGTTGTTTAGTCAGTTTCAGACTCTTCATGACCCCATTTGGGGTTTTCTTGGCAGAGATACTGGAGTGGTTTGCCATTTCCTTCTCCAGCTCATTTTTCAGATGAGGAAACTGAGGCAGATAAGGTAAAGTGACTTGCCCAGGGTCACACAGCTAGTAAGTATCTGAGGCCAAATTTGAACTCAGGTCTTGACTCCAGGCCCAGCACTTTATCCACTGGGCCACCTAGCTGCCTAAGCAAATATATACAGGATAAATAGGAAATAACCAGCAGAGAGGAGGCACTGGAATTAAGAGGGGTTGGGGAAGGTTTCCTGTAGAAGATGGGGTTTTAGTTAGGACTTAAAGGACGTGACTTGCCCAAGGTCAAACAAGTATTAAGTGCCAGGAGGCAGGATTCACACTCAAGTCTTCTAGACTTCCAAGTCCAGCGCTCTAGCTGTGAGGCCTTTTGATAAGGGCAGGAATGGCAACTGGGGAGCATTCCCTCCACGAGATTCTAAGAGACAAGTGAAAAGAGAATTTTCCCACTTTCCCCTTTCCCCCAGCACCCCTGCTCAGATCAGTGACTTCTTGTCCCCCTCTCCCTTCTCCCCTTCCCCACACACCCACCCCCATCATCTCCCTTCCCATATCCCTGCTTGGCTGCACCACAGGTGCTGTGGCTAATGAAGGCATCTCCTGTTGTGGAGGCTTCAGGGCACCTGGGTTCTTGTTCTAACTTTACCAGTGTGTGACCCAGGGTGAGATTTCACTTTTGCGGGCCTCTGTTTGCCCATCTGCAAATTGAGGACAACTGTCCTCATGGAAGAAAAACCTGAGGTGAGGGATGGAAAAATGGGGAATGGAGCTGAGCTGGCAACTCTTCTCCAGAAGCCTGAAGGTCAGTTTGGTCCCAGAGAAAGCCCCCTGTGGGGGGTTGATGCTGGGCTGGGAAGGGAGAAGAATTGGGATGCCCTGCAGACCTCAAACCAGAATTGATGAAGATACCTTGTAATCGATTGGAAAGATCAATGGACTAAGTGTCAGGGCCATGCCACTCACTGGCACTATGATCCTGGAGAAGGCACGTCACCTCTCGGGGTCTAGATTTCCTCATCTGCAGAACTAAGGGTTTGGATTAGATCAGATCTGGGACCTTTTCAAGCACTGGTGTTCTCTAAGACCCATGAATGCCCCTCCTCCCATGGAGCCAACCTGTGGCTAGTCCTTTCGGGCGCAGACCGATTCAATCCAACTGAGGACTACTAAGTCCTTTAGTGCCTACTATGGACCAGGGGTATTCCTGAGGGTGCAAAGACAAAAGAAAGAGTTCTTACCCTCTAGAGGTTTATGTTCTACTAGTGTGGGGGAGACAGTCTGTGCCCAGATAAATAAATTTGAGAATTTAAGAAGGCCGTCTTGTGTTGAGAGCTCCTTGGGTAGCTCTTCAATTAAGGTTCAAAGGGGGCTGGGGGCTCTTAGAGGTGGAGGTGGAGAGGCAGAACATTCCAGGCCTAGGTGAAAACTTAAGCCAAGCCAGGGAAGGAGGAGATGGAATGGAATATTGTAGCTAGGCTAGGGCCAGATCAAAAGAAAGTTTAATTCAAGAATGGAGGATGAAGGTAAGGAGATGGAACAGGAGAGGATATGACCTTGTGTGTAGCCCTAGGGATCCAGGAATAGAATGGAAAGCACAGGTCACCAAGTCCACCCAACCAAACTTCTCTCCAACTAGTTGCTAAATCCTATTTTCTGTGAAAGTAAAAAGTGGGACTAATGATGCTTTGCGGACTTCTCACTATGAAGGGTATGTAAAGGTCCCACCCCCAACCTGAAGCCAAGGCCCAATTTCAGACCAAGTACCATCATTCCATTCCAGGCTCAAGTAATGTAGGAGGAGGCAGCTGGTATAGTGGAAAGAAAGAACACTGACTTTGGGGTACGAGGACCTGAATTCAAATCCCAAATCGGATGCTGTGTAACCTTGGACATAATCACTTAATCTCCATGAGCCTTGATTTCCTCATTTGTAAACCAATGGGGTTGTATTAGGTGGTCTTTGAGGTATCCCACAGTCCTAGATCCATGATTCTAGGAATAACCCTGCATCAGACCTACATCCCACCCTTCTCATCATTTCCCCTGCAAGCTGTTGGAGGGGACTTTTCTCTGGAAAGTGACCTCAGTGGGTACGTCCCTGTCAAGCACCTTTAAGTTGAATCCAGCCGCAGCTTTCATCATCCATTTATTCCAGTTCTTGTTCAAAACTCAAGCCATGATTCCCCAACCAACTGAGATAACTATGCGGAGATAACTGCACTCACAATGATAATAGCACATACATATGCATTTATGGTAAATATTATGTATATAAAGCAAGCATTTAGTCAACAAATCAACAAGCATTTGTTAAATGACTATTATATGCCAGGCACTGTGCTAAGTGCTGGAGATGCAAAGAAAGGCAAAACCTAAACAAATCAAAATAAACAAAAAGAAATCCATGCAGGAATGTAAATAGTTTAACTTTATTGAGTCCCTTATGATTACTTTTTCTTATTTACCTTTTTATGCTTCTCTTGAGTCTTTTGTTTGAATGTCAAATTTGCTACTCAGTTCTGATCTTTTCATCAGGAATACTCAATTTCATTAAATATTCATTTTCCCCCCTGAAAGATTATACTCAGCTTTGCTGGGTAGGTGATTCTTGGTTGTAATCCTAGCAGCTTTGCCTTCTGGAATATCATATTCCAAGCCCTCCACTCCTTGAATGTGGAAGCTACTAAATCTTGTGTGATCCTGACTGGCTCCATGATATTTAAATTGTTTCTTTCTGTCTACTTGTAATATTTTCTCCTTGACCAGAGAGCTCTGGAATTCAGCTATAATATTCCTGGGAGTTTTTATATTGTGGCCTCTTTCAGGACATGATCAGTGAATTCTTTCAACTTCTATTTTATCCCCCGGATCTAAGATATCAGGGCAGTTTTCCTTGATAATTTCTTGAAATATGATGTCTAGGTTCTTTTTTTATCATGGCTTTCAGGTAGTCTAATAATTCTTAAATTATCTCTCCTGGATCTATTTTCCAGGTATTTTATTTCTCCAATGAGATATTCCCATTTTCTTCTATTTTTCATTCTTTTGGCTTTGTTTTATTGTTTCTTGAGGTCTCATACAGTCATTAGCTTCTACTTGCCCAATTCTAATTTTTAAGGAACTATTTTCTTCAGTGAGTTTTTGTACCTCTCTTTCCATTTGGCCTATTCTGCTTTTAAAGGAGTTTTCTTCATTGAATTTATTTTTGTCTCTTTTACCATTAGGCCAATTCTGTTTTTTAAGGTATTTTCTTCAATTGTTTTGTGTTTCTTTTACCAAGCTGTTAATTCTCTTTTCATAATTTCCTTGCATTACCCTCACTTCTTTCCCCATTTTCCCTCTACCACTCCTATCTCTTTCTTTAACTCTTCCTTGAATTCTTCCTGGTCTTGAGTCCAGTTAACATTTTTCTTTGAGGCTTTGCTTGTAGCTGTTTTCACATTGTTCTCTTCTTCTGTGTATGTCTTGGCCTTCCTTGCCACTGTAGTAGCTTTTTATGGTTAAGTTATTTTTTGTTGTTTGCTCATTTTCCTAGTCTATTTCTTGACAATGAACTTTATGTTAAAGTTGGGCTCTAATCACCTGGGGTGGGGAGATGCTGTGCCAAACTTCAGGCTTTTTCTTTCTTTCTTTCTTTCTTTCTTTCTTTCTTTCTTTCTTTCTTTCTTTCTTTCTTTCTTTCTTTCTTTCTTTCTTTCTTTCAAAGGCAATTGAGGTGAAGTGATTTGCCCAGTGTCACACAGCTAGTAAGTGTCAAGTATTTGGTCTGAGGCCGCATTTGAACTCAGGTCCTCCTGACTTCAGGGCCGGTGCTCTATCCACTGCGCCACTT